CTTTGAAGGACCCCTCTCCTGCTTTCTCCCTGCAAAGGCAGAGAAGCAACGGCCGGGAATTCCAGTCGGCTGGATGTGTGTGGCTCTGGATTGCAGACTGCAGGACTTTGTACATTATGAAGAAGAAGGAGGAGGAGGAGAAGGAGGAGGAGGAGGAGGAAAGAAGAAAGAAGAAGAGGAGGAAGAGGAGATTGGATTTATGACCCACCCTTCACTCGGAATCTCAGAGCAGCTTACAAACTCCTCTCCCTTCCCCTCCCCACACCCTGTGTGGCAGGTGGGGCTGAGAGAGCTCTGAGAGAACTGCTCTTGAGAGAACAGCTCGGAGAGAACTGTGGCTTGCCCAAGGTCCTCCAGCAGCTGCAAGCGGAGGCGTGGGGAATCAAACCCGGTTCTCCCAGATCAGAGTCTGTGCACTTCACCAATACACCTTTCCACCCGATCAGGGTCCACAAGGAGACCATTTTCTACGTTCGCTTCCTCCACTTCTAGTTAATGGGGTGGGGGCGTGAGAACATGGCACGTATAAAGCTATAGACGTGTTTGGGGGAGGCTGATTCTGCACGTGACGAATCGCTGTGGCCAAAAAAGGGAAGAAGCCACGGGATGAGACGACGGGGTAGGCCCTCTGCGTAATCGATGAGGCTGGTTTTCCAAGCAAAGTGGTCAGTGAGATCCAGGGCGACCCTGAGGTTGCACAAGAACGTTCCTTTCGGCCATCACGCCTGCTTACAGGAAGGAGAGGACGCCCCGTGACAAGCTTGTGACTCGACTGATGCGCGGGCTGGAGACCAAACTCTCTCGCTCAGCCTTGTACCAGCCCACAAAGAGGTTTTTTTAAAAGAAACACTAGCCATCTTGGCAGCGTGCGGCACGCTCAATGCGCCTATTCAAAGGATCACCAAACTCTCAAGCGGTAGATAAAAGCTTCCCTATCTGGTTGCTTGGAGGGGACACCTGGTATTCTCAGACAGCCACACAAATAGCTATTGGCGGAAAAGAGCGATCTGCCTAATGCGGGGGGGGGGACTTGGTGCCCACAGGCACCCTGGCGCCTGCTGGCACCTTTCCCGGGGCCCACCAAGTGTCTTTAGAAAGTGGGCGGGGCCAAACGGGGCTGTTGCCCAGCAGGGCTTTTGATTGGCTGTGCAGTGTTTTTTTTAAAAAAATATTGCTTTGGCAACAGCTGCCACCACAGCACAAGGATCTTTGCTGTGTGTCTGCAACAGAAGACGACGAAGAAGAAGATGAAGAAGAAGAGGAGGAGGAAGAGGAGGAGATTGGATTTATACCCCACCCTTCACTTGGAGTCTCAGAGCGGCTTACAAACTCCTCTCCCT